ACTCTACAAGAGCAAAACGAAAGAGACCAGACAGACTGATGCTACGGTTACTGAGCCCAGGGGAAGTCTGGCCATCAGGAGCACCGGAACATTTCCTGGTGGCCTGGCCCGCTCAGTGTTCGCCAAGGGGGACTAAAGGCTTGGTTCAGGTTGCACTTTAACTTAAGTAAACAATCCATGCCGCTCACTCAGGTATCCTCTTACAGCTCCCTGAGCTGTAGCGATGGGGAAAGACAGACCCTACCCCCCAACCTTCCTTTCTCTTTCTGAGGCTGTCTGTCTCTGCTGTGACAGACAGCCTCAGAAAAAGAAAGGAGGGGGCCCCTCGGCAATCACTAAGTGGGCCAGGCCACTGGGAAATGTCCTGGTGTTCTCGATGGCCAGTCCGCCCCTCAGTACAATGCTCTGGTTGGTTGCCTTCCATCAAGCAGCCAATCATGTGTTGTGTACATTCTTATATTGAAAACCTGTGTGAGTCCGCAAAAGTCGAAACACGAAGTATCGAGGGACTACTGTATTAGCCAAATCTTGTGCTTTTTCACTTCAACCATTACTTTGAGAAGCTACAGAATGGTATCCTGGGGAACGTGCATGCACACAAGATAAGAACCTAAGTTGTTTATTGACATAAAATATATTTTGTTATCAAAGAATAGAGTCCTTACATTTATTAAACATTACTTCTGTATTTACAAAAAAAAAAAAAGAACACACATCAAAATTGTGCTTTGACAAACTCATCAATAAAACTAAATGCATAAATGTCAAATGCAAATGAGGAAAAGCGGGGCAGGTATCGCTCTCGCTTTGAGTTTACTCTTTGTTGCATGATTACTATGGGTGACAAGCATCCAGAGCGTCATACAAACAACAGCGGAGGTGTCTGAGTTATTTATTTATCTTCTCAGCAGTAGAGGGGAGCGACACATGGCTCCCCAAATGACAAGACAGTCAAATTTGTTCATAACTTTATTATTAGTGAGCCTGAGAGTTGCTGGATCTGAACAAACAGTTGCCGAACACACCCTGACAAGAGAGATCCCGGATCTTGTTATGGCAGGATCCGTCTCAAATTAAGCCCTGCTTTGGACCATCTGGTACAAATCATGAAGATGACCACCTCATCGTGATGAAAACGCCCTCCTCACAGTGAAGCACAGAGATGCTACATGGTGCTTTTTGGGGGGCTGGGGGATCTACGCATGAATCGCTTTTTTAATTCAGATTTTTTTAATAACTTAAAACATTTTTTCCTGTATATTTTCATACACAAAAATTGATTACTTTTAATTTAATGAAGAATAATGTGAATTCAAGGTTATGAGGCAACAAAATAAATAAAATACCACTGGGGGGAGTGAATAATTTTGCAACATTTTGGATTCAGGTAAATTATTAATTTACTCATTAAAAGTTACTGTTAACCCTGTGATAGACTTGCGACTTGTCCAGGGTGTACCCCGCCCCTCGCACAGTGATTGCTGGACTTGGGCACCGGCGACCCCCGTGACCCAAAATGGAAGAAGCGGGTAAAGAAAATGGATGGATGGATGGGAAAGTTACTGTTAGAGTTCAGTCAAGGGTTATGAATGTTTTATTGTGTTTTATTATTGTGGCTGAGAACAGGCAGCTCGTCTGTCTCCTAAAACACTCTCTTTTCTTGGACTGGAGGCCGATTTGAGATGTTTCTTTGACGCCCATGAACCATATTTGTGCAGACAGAGTGTTGTTGTGAGATGGGACTGCAGCTGGCTTCAAGGAACGCCCACTGAACTCCACTGAACTGCTAAAATTATTAAAGTCAGCAGAAGACACTGTTGGATGTTCCATTCTGGACACTGCATGCATATATATCTATATATGTAAAACCTGTCCTGACTGAGGCCTTGCAAGTAAAAAGTCAGTTCAAAAATCTTCACCTGTTGTAAGTTGTGGTTCTTTTGAGTAAACGGCGTTAGTGAAGAGAGAGGATATTTTTCAAAATTGCTCATATTTTAGCTCCTAAAAGTCCTGAAGTTCATTTTCACATCTTACATTTTGTTACACAACTGATCATTGAATTTCAGCTGATTTCAGTCTCGGTGATGGTTTGAATCCTCTTTGATTTCTGTTCTGGTCCTACAGAAAGGATCAGTACATGTTGAATACAGCAAATCAGGCAATAAATTATTTGTTTATTATGTCTGACATTAGGGATGCACGATATTATCGGCATGTATCGTATCGGCCGATATTAGCGTTAAAGTTTAATATTGAACATCGGCCATTCCATCAAAATAACTCACAGATAGAAAAGATGCTGTTTTTGTATGACAACCCAGTGACAAGGATGCCTGGAGTGCCAGCTGACAAAGGAAAGTATATTAAAAAAATATTGGTATCGGCTTTGAGCCAAATAAGTTTTAACATATCGGATATCAGCCAAAAATCCAATATCGTGCATCCCTATCTGACATGTAAAAATCAAAGGTCTCATACCTTTTATCTTCACGAACAACAAGAAAAGTTTTGATCAGACTTAGATTCAGATACACAGAGCAGCTGACAAACAGGATTTATGGTTGTTTCCTGTCCTGCAGGGAGTTTCTGGGTCAGGGCTGGATGAAAGTGGATAAAACTGAGAGGACTCCGTACATCATGAAGACCAGTCAGCACTTTAATGACGTAAGAACCAACCTTCTTCTTCTTCTTTAGGCTGTTCCCTCTTGAGGGGTCGCTACAGCAAGTTCTCCATCTCACTCAGTCCTCTGTGTCTTCTGACTGTTTGTTTTTGTTGACTTGGCACATAAAGAAGAATTAGACCATAAAAAGACAAATAGTCAGAATCAGTTCTTATAAGACAGTTTGTAGTGTAGCAAACTATTTAAATAAACAAAACAAGAGTCACTTTGAAGCAATTTACTATTCTGTTCTTTGTAAGAATTTTTGATTCTCTTCCTCTTGAGCAGCTTTGGGAAAAACTCGGACCTGGACAAAAGAAGCAGTGAAGCATGTTGCTAGGTCAGGAATAGGTTCTAACGGGATTTTGGTGAAACAAGTGAGGAAAATTCACCTCTACACCTCAGACAAACCTAACGGTAGAAACATTAGCAGAAATTGAAATGGGTAACAGAAAGTTTTACGTGATTGAAATTATGATTATGATATATTTTAATTTATTTGTTTTTTTTTTTTGTTTGTTTGTTTGTTTGTTTTTTACACAATTTGGAGATTTATTGCAGAAAGTTCAGCTTAGTGTGATGATCTAACAAAGTTAAGTCAGGTCAGTCTGGATGGATTTTTATCCATTTATCCAAAAGACTTCTTCAGCCTGAGGAGCTGCAACTAACTCAGTCTTATTAATAAATCTGACTTGACTGGACTAGACTTATAAATAGCACCTTCTCATATTGGATCAATCAGTTTGGTGGTGACATCCAGAATTAGCTGTTCACATGCAAAAGGAGGACCATCAGCCTAACAATGGATCGTTTGCACCCTGATGGTTGTTTACTATTCACAGAGGGCTGAGTGATACTAGCAATCACAGCATTGTAAGAGGGGGACAGTTGAACACGGAGGCCTCCACCCCTGTTTAATGATGGACGGTTTCTTTTCACAAAGATGGCCTCCTTTCTGAGAATCAGCACCTCCAAATCTGAGGCCAGGGTCTTCAACCGGAAAAGGGTGGATTGTTCTCTTCAGGTTGAGGGTGAGGTTCTGCCTCAAGTGGAGGAGTTCAAGTAACTTGGGGTTTTGTTCATGAGTGAGGGAAGAATGGAGTGTGAGATTGACAGATGGATTGATGCAGCACCTGCAGTATTGCGGACTCTGTACCGGTCCGTTGTGGTGAAGAGGGAGCTGAGCTATAAGGCAAAGCTCTCTGTTTACCGGTCAGTCTACATTCCTACCCTCACCTATGGTCATGAACTCTGGGTAGAGACTGAAAGAATGAGATCATGGATACAGGCAGTTGAAATAAGTTTCCTCTGCAGGGTAGCTGGACTCTCCATTAAAGATAGGGTGAGAAGTTCAGTTATCCAGGAGAGACTCAGAGTAAAACTTCTGCTCCTCCATGTCGAGAGGAGCCAGTTGAGGTGGTTCGGGCATCTGGTAAGGATGCTCCCTGGGCGCCTCCCAAGGGAGGTGCTTCGGGCATGTCTGACTGGGAGGAGACCCTGGACATGCTGGAGAGACTATGTCTCTCGGTTGGCCTGAGAACGCCTTGGAGTCCTCCCAGAAGAGCTGGAAGAGGAGGCTGTGGAAAGAGATGTCTGGGCCTCCCTGCTCAAGCTGCTGCAAAAACTTATCACTTTCTCTCTGGATGGTACCGTAAACATCTACATCACTAAACTCACCCTCTGTCGCTTCCTCCATTCTAAGATGAGTAACCTGGTGGCGTCTCAGATAATGTCCCACACCGATGTGAGCTCCCGGGCCAGCTCCATAGAGAAATGGCTGGCGGTGGCCGACATCTGTCGCTGCCTCAACAACTACAACGGAGTGCTGGAGATCACCTCTGCTCTCAACCGCAGCGCCATCTACAGACTGAAGAAGACCTGGGTCAAAGTCTGCAAACAGGTCTGTTTCCTCCAACGGAGCAAGTTGCTATCAATCCCACTCCCTCGTGCACAGAAAACACTCAGATCATTGTATTTTCAGACAAAGGCGCTGATGGACAGGCTGCAGAAGACTGTGTCGTCAGAGGGGAGATTCAAAAACCTCAGGGAGACACTCAAAAAGTAAATATTGATGCAGAACATGGATAAACCTATAAATCCAGTCACACAAGTTGTAAAACTTGCATCTCTCTGAGTGCAGCTGCAACCCTCCATGTGTCCCATACCTGGGCATGTACCTCACCGACCTGGCCTTCATCGAGGAGGGGACACCCAACTTCACCGAGGAAGGTCTTGTTAACTTCTCCAAAATGAGGATGGTAAGAAGCACAAATTGCAAGAGCTGAAATCTCTATAAGTTTTAGTTCTGGTGTCCAAACATTTTCAGTCCAGCAGAGATTAATGCATTTTCAGAAAATAAAACAAGAAATCCTGGAGTTTCTGCTCTGAGATTATAAATGAAATGAGAAGTGAGGTTTTTTTAGGTCATCCCGCAAAACCCACTGAAGGTTGAGTTCATATATAAACATGTAAATTAAGGGGCAAACGAATATATATTTTATTTAACATACACAAAGATACTTCTCATAATATCAGACCTTGATTACAGGACACAGTTTTTGAGTAAAACTGGAGCTTTTCTTCTGCAGTTTGGCTGTTCATTTACACGACAGCCCTCGTTCACTCTGAAACTGAAGGTTTCTGAATCCAGGTCTCTGAGTGGAGGTTTTCGGGGGAACCCCCGTGGAGGTGTGAAATACTCTGCAAGTGTAAAGTTGCATATGCACGCTACAGGCGGCTGCAGCCAAGTTTTTATGCTTTTATAGCAGTTACAATAAATGACAGAGGGTAGAGTGTTTTAGTGCTACCCACCCTTCTTCAGCATGTAGGAACAAAACCAACAACATCCTAGGTTCAAAGGAACGTTGATGTATTCAGTTGGGATGTAGCTGTGATCATGCAGATACTGCATGTGCAATGCATGCAGTTGAGCCCAGCATCAGGGTTGCCAGATAAACATAAATACAAATTTTTACTCACTTTTTCTATGCACACATTCACCACACACAACACACACCTCATCTTGCAAAACACTCACTCAGCACAAATGACAGTTTGGATCAGAATACAATATTTTTAAAGAAACAGCACAATAGTTCCATCATTTCCTATCTGGCAACCCTGCCTAGTATAGGAACAACAGCAAATCAGTATAAACAGGCATTTTTATTTTTTATTTGCCCCAGTAAACACTGGAAAAGCACAAATATTTCCAGAGGTCGTTCTCATGTAAACAGGGTCTCATCTGCAGGTTGCTCACTTGGTCTGTGTTTTTGTATGGAAAGACTTATCAAGAGGAAATAAAGGTTTACAATAAAATAGCAAAACAAACAGAAGTACTGACTGTGTCGTATTGTCTTGGTAACAAAAAGTCTCTAAAGTGAGTTTGGTCATAATTTACAGACAAGCCTGGCCGACAACTTTACTGTCTCTGTCTCTTCTGACAGATTTCTCATATCATCCGGGAGATCCGTCAGTTCCAGCAAGCACCTTACAGGATCGAGCACCAACCCAAGGTTTGTCCAAAAAGATGCCGTTCAAACCAGCATTGGCCTTTCTGAGAAACTCAAATCATTAGAATCATTCCTTTTTCCAGGTCACCCAGTTCCTGATGGATAAGACATTAGTGATGGATGAAGATACCCTCTATGAGCTGTCACTCAAAATAGAACCACGAGTACCTCCTGGCTAACGTTATACATATTTACATATCTGGGAGTCCAAACATTAAAAAAAACATGGGTTGTTCCGTAATACACGAGCAGACATTGTGCTTAGGAACAAATGTGCCTTGTTTTATAATGACCTGAGTTGCTAATTAAAAAAGACACACAACTTGTGTGTCATAGTTATGAGCACAGAACCCTCTGAACTTCCATTTCTAGATCGTTGCTGCTAACACACCAACAGACTAAAACATTATGTAATGCTGTGCATAAAAATCAGAAAACTTTTACACATTCTGTATTACAGTACCACAGTTTGAGTATCCTGCTGGTATTTAACCTCAGCGTGCACTGTGCATGCTGACAGGTGGCGGATGTGATGGTTCACGACGAGCCGGTTTAAAGTCTTTACACTTTGTTTGAAGAACGCTGCAATTCAGAGTCGTTTTAAAAGCGCTGTTAGTTGAGATCAATGTAATTCTCTCATGTAAAGACAACCAAAATGGGTCAATGAAGCAGCTTAATAAAAATGATGAGTACATCCCCCTAGAATTTACTGTATGTCTGCGTCTGACACGTCAGACCACTGGGGGGTGACGTTTGTCTGATTAACTCTAATTCATATTTATTAAAGCTCTTTTTGTACATAAAACACTGGAAACTGTTGACCTGCATGACAGACACCTAAACACTTAAATGGAATACTGTATTCCTGCTTTGTAGGCAAACATGGGGGCCAAGATGGTTTAGGTGCAGGGCAGCCGACTCAGGACCCAAAGGTCCCAGGTTCAATTCCTGGTCATTGCACATCTCGTGGTGTCTCTGAGCAGGACACCCACTTTCCCAGTTGCTCCCTCCATAGCCGCCCACCATTCCACCTGGTGGTGGGTGGGTTAAATGCAGAGAGCCAATTTCGCCATTGCATGTGATGACAATACATACACGTTATTATGAACGTCTCGGGAGTTTCATTTTATTTATTTAGTCAAAGTGGGCCATCAGGAAAGGGGCCGAGCATTTTGCTAGCACTGCCATTTAAACTGCAATTAAAGTAGTTTGTCAAAATTTCAGACGCCTATTTTACTTTTTTTAATAAACATTTTTAATTAAATTATTTTTGAGCCATATCTTGATATAAAGCTGATGCTAGGCTAATTTGGCTTTAGCTCGGTCTCCCTCTATGCACTGTTTATTCAAATCCAGTGTTTCTTTATATAAAATTACAAATTGTTTGCATCGACATAAAATCCTCAGAAATTTGGTCTAAAAAAAAATCACATTTTAACGTTAGCGAAAGCTAACTACGCTATACAGCCTTAGCTGTCCCTTTTTTGTACGATGATGCTGGAATTTTAATTTCCCTGAAGGAATCTTCCCAAGAGACCAATAAAGTTCTATCTAATCTAATTTAATGTACCGTATTTTCCAGCGTATAAGTCGCATCAGTCAAAAAAAAGCATCATGAAGAGGAAAAAACATATATAAGTCTCACGGGAGGACTCGCTGTTGCAGTTCTTTGAAACTTAAAGTGTCAGTCAAAAATTGCGTTATGATATGGAAAAATCAAAAACGAATATAAGTCGCAGGACTGACAAATCTATGCAAAAAAAAACTGCAATTTATACGCCGGAAAATACGGTAATCTAATCTAACACAACTGTGATGGTTTATTCTACTTATTTAATATCTGACAATAATACATTTTCAGTATAATACAAACTAGAAGCTCAGAGTGTGTTTACATGATTGAATATTTTAAAACGTTCAGTGTCCGCCACAACTAATGGGGTTTGTAGTTTTTATACCGATGTTGCCAAAAACTGTGTAAATAAGTCAGTTCAGCATGAACCTGGTTCTCTAGTTCCCCAGAGGAGGAACCACTTCCTCACCTGGTGCTTGACCAGTCTTCGTCCATATTTCTGTTTGAGTGAAAACGCAGAATAGAAACTATCCGTCTACCTTAATGCCTCATCTTTTTCTTAACAGTATTAAAACAAGCTTCACGTTTTCTACCTTTACTAACCAACATGCTTACTGTAAGTTATCTCATCTGTGTCGCATAATAAAAGGAAAACACACATTCCAAGCATAAAAACACCCCTTCACACATTAAGGTTAGTATTTTCCTGCTTGACAAATGAACCATGACTTTTCAGATTTAATATCTATTTATTTTTTCAGGAAATTGTCCTAAAACACATCTTACATTCTAAGAAAATCAAACTGCTTAAACATGATTATTAGTTAACATCAATCCTATTTTTAAATATTTGTAGATTTGTACTGTAGGGATATATTTGCACCAAGTAGAGGATTTATAAAGATTGTTAATAGAAGCTAAAGTTATTTATAGCATGAAAACAGCATAAATTACCTTAGAAATATCACAGTAGGTAGCTTAGATTATTTTATGATTTATTTTTGCCCCATTCCTGTCAGGAATCTTTTGAAGCTGTAAACTTTAAGGCTTTTTGTCCCCATTGCTGCAATATAGATTTAAACTCATGTAATTTAAGTAATTTTTCATACATTTCACTGTTTATCGTACAAACATTTACACTTTGCACACTTGATAATAAAACTTTGGGAAAAACAAATGTTGATTTTTTTTTTGTCATAGCAAGAGCCAAAAAGGACGTTTGGAGACTCCCCAACTGGTGGAAGAAAGTTTTCTGATTGGACAAAACAAAAATGGAACTATTTGGGCATGAAGGACAAGAAGACTGGCACAAACCTTCTATCTGCATGCTGAAAAAGCTTGGTGGTGGTAGCATCATGCTGTGGGGATGCTTTTATTGTTTTTTTTTTTTTAACATAATACAAAACAAGAAAGAACATATATAAAGTAAAAAACAGAAAAAAAAAGTGTTGGGCGACAACTTATTATAATTTTAAGGTTATTAGTTCCTGTAAAGGTTTCTGAAATTTTCCCACAGTTCTTCAACTTTTGATTGTTGTAGTCTTAGAATGTATGTAAATCTCTCCATGTTGGGAATTTCCTCCACTATGTCCATCAAATTGTTTAAGGGGGTGGGGGGGGGGGTGTCCACTTTACCCCATTTCTGTGTGATCTCTTTCTTGGTCGCCGCCAATAATATTTTAACCAAGTAGAGGTCTTGACCTGTGTAGTGAACTAGACTTCTGACATCAACCTGTCTCTGAAGACCTTCAGGGGACAGGAACTGTTATTTCATTGATTTGAATCCAGAAATACAAATTATCTCATCAAGAGACTATTTAATTGTATCCTGAATTAATCAATTGAAAGAACACTCTTCCTTTTACATTATCAGTACTATTTTACAATATCTTGATAATCAAAGTGTGTTTAGTTCATACCATTTGTAAATGTTGAAGTGAACCACTCATTTAAATCAACTGTGAAACAGTATTAATGATTTTTAAACCTTATTAGACTTGGATCATACAAGTAAATGTCTATTTACGAAGTAAGTGTGCATTCACTCTTCTGTGTGTGAGTAGTGGACCTGATGTCGGTCGAAAGTCAGAGACAAGTTATGAGAACGAAGTGCCTTGTTTTTTAAACTCTCAGACAGTAAATAAGAACTACTGGCACCTGCATCCTCTCATTTCTTCAAAATATTTCTCTGTCTATACTAACTGTTCTTAAAACATTCCTGCTGTCTCCTGACTCCTAGTGACCCTCTGACATCACTAAAACTACACCCCTGCTGGTTGTTTCAACCAATCAGGAAGTACAACGTAACAGGAAGTGGATACCTTTTAAAAGGCAACACTTCTTGGAACTATTCAGTCTTTGAGTCTTTCCAAGTCTTCGTCGTCTTCGAAGTCTTCGCAGTCTTCGCAGTCTTTTCCCGTCTTCTCAGCTTTTCCAGTCTTCCTGGAACTTTCAGTCGAAGATGAGACTCGGTCTGATGGCGAGTCGTACAGGAACTTTCAGTTCTTACTGAAAGTCAACTAGGTAGCGGATGGATTGGACCATGTGCCAAGGGTCCCTCCATTCCAGCGTAGTCACAGCCTGCCTCGGCTGGGACTCAACCCGAGCATTAAAAGCTCAACTTCTAAGGAAGGTTATTTGGTTGAACTGAGTACTTCGTCACGATTTCTGATGACCCCAGCCACTCTGACCAGAGACGCTGAAAAGGGAGCATACCAATGGACTTCTGTTCTGGAGTGGATGCATCCTCTGCTAAGGTAACAAAGTCGCTGCACGTCCTGAAGTGTACCGGAGGGCTGAGCTGGATTCGGAGGAAGGGTGCCATTTTCTGGTTCAACACATAACTTTCATCCTTAAACCTCTTTACTCCTTCTTTTTAAATCTCTATTCGCCAGTAAATCAAGCTCGATGCCTTCAGAGGTGAATCAGCCTCAATCAGTAATGTTCTGTTGTCTTGTTAGTAAATCGTGCCAAGTTTATTAATCAGAAACAGATCGGCAAATCAATGTGTACATGTTTGATGTTAAATTTTGATTCTGTTAAATAAATGACCGCATTTATTCTGATGGGTCAAAGATAAAATGGCGTCTCATGTCACTGATTAAACAATCCACTCACAAATTATCTTGGTCACATGGCAGAAATTTAACTCGAAAAAGAAAATAATCTGTTGTAATTGAACAATTAATATTCTTTGTGCTTGAACTAGCTTTAAGAATAATTAATTAGTAGTGAAGCTAACAGCTACATCACCACACCTGGAATGTTATTTTCTGATAAATAACCCAAATATATGACTCCACCTGTTTTGGGTAGTTCATATCCTAGGATTTCTTTCAGCCGTTTACAAACGTCATCCCAACAACATTTCAGCTTTACACATTGCCCAAACACATGAATGATCTACATTGTGCTCTCCACATAATTTCCAACATGGCTGCTGCACTGATAACGATCCTCCCTTTATCTTAGAAGTGTAATAAATATTCTTGTTATATTTTTCCAGCAGAAAATATTCCACGTTCTGGTTAGTTGTACTCCGAGTTTCACAAATATCATACCACGTGTCATCAGTTATTTCCTCCTCCAGTCCTTTTTCCCACTTATTTCACGTACAGCGTTAGTCATCAATCCTTGATATAACTTTGATATGTGGGGATGTTTTTAACAGCACTAAATTGGAAACTAAACTAGCAGCTATTTTGGTTTTATTTTTAATTAAACCAAATATTCTTCTGATTTACTTCTAACTGGAGGATTTTCTGCAGGTTCTTTACCTGTAAACTGAAAACTTGCACAAATTCCTGATTTTATTCGACAAAACGAAGAATAAAGGTAAATAATTTTTCAACCTTTTTGCATTTCTACCATTTGTTGTCCATGACAAGCACCTTCCAGACATTTAATTGGTTTGATGACTGATGAAGCCCTCCGGATAGAGGGCGAAACGTCTCTATAAAAAAGAAACTGTCCAGATGACCCAACTGAGAATTATTGGCTTTTGTACCTGGATGACTGAGCATGAACTTTGTTGCCTTGAACCACTTTGGCTGTGGCTGCCTGCTTGGGAGGAGTCGACGAGGGACAGGACGGCCCCCAAAAACCATCTTAGCTCCATCAAACTGGCTGGTCCACTTAAGGATTTTACTTCTTGGTGTGGAAACAGTTTACTGGAACTCCTCTGACTGATGAAGCCCTCCGGATAGAGGGCGAGACGTCTCTATAAAAAAGAAACTGTCCAGATGACCTGACTGAGAATTATTGGCTTCATTGGTTTGACTGGGCAGCACGGTGGCGCAACTGGTAGAGCTGCTGCCTCTCATCGAGCAGATCCCTGGTTCAAACCCCGGTCCAGGGGGGCTTTCTGGGTGGAGTTTGCATGTTCTTTCCGTGCAGGCGTGGATTTTCTATGGGTACTCCAGTTTCCTCCCACAGACCAAAAACATGCATGTTAGGCTGATTGGTAACTCTAAATTGTCCCTAGGTGTGAGTGAGAGAGTGAATGGTTGTTTGTCTCATTTGTCTCTATGTGTCCCTGTGATGGACTTGCGACCCGTCCAGGGTGTACCCCGCCCCTCGCACTGTGATTGCTGCACATGGGCACCGGTGACCCCCGTGACCCAAAATGGAATAAGTGGGTAAAAGATAATGGATGGATGGTTTGACTGCTATTTTTTTTTACTGGTTTTAACCTTAAGCTTGAAATGTAAAACAAAGAAGAGATTTCTGAAGAAACCCGCTGAAGTTCATATCATAATATTTGATGCAGTTGTACAAGTTATTCCTTCATCGTAGGTCGCTATATTGAAAAATGGATACACAATGTAAAAAAAACACACTGAAACTATTTTTTCCCCACTATGGAGTATGCTGTTTGTGAACATCAGCTTGTTTGATGTCTCCTCAGATTGAAGAAGTTCTTTGGATGAAGGATGAAACCGTCCAGATGACCTGACTGAACGCTGTCGGATTTTTACATTGAGCATGAACTTTGGTCCCAAAAGTTCTTTTCTGCTTTAGTTTTGAATGTAAAACATGCCATGTCTTTGCTTTTTGAGAAATAGCACCAGTGTTTTGTTGTTTTTCATAAAAGCTGCAGGTTTGTGTCTTGAACTTGACCTTTGTGAGGACGGGAGCAGAGCGACATGGATCATGTTTAAATATCAAGGTCAGAGCGGTCAGCAATCTGGGATCCCTCATGGTAGAGGTCAACCATGGCTCTGCATGCAGGGTCTGAGCATTCATTGGTGTGGAACTCAGTGTCTGGACATACGATTGGCCAGCAAGATTTAATCCCTCATGGAGGGGGTCATATAGGGGGAGACTAAAAATCTTCTCCTCAGCAACCTTCAGTCAGAAGGCAGCAGCTTTCATAAAGGTACAGTACGCTCTTCTTGTTTCTCATGCAGCAAGTCTTAGGCAGCTACATTTTATTGAGCCTTGTAAACTTTATCTGTTATAAAAACCTGTTTAGATCAGGGGAAGTATATTTCTGGTTTAAAAACTAGTTTGAATAGAAATGCTGAATAAAGGCATGAGAGAAAATCTTCACACTTTTAATGCTTAACGTTAACTGCACATAGTGGTAGACTGACGTTTATAATGTTCTGCAATGTTCTAAGGTCACTCTGTTTTTGGGTCGAGGAGGCTGATGACAGGTCCGTCGACCCACCGGCTCATCAAAGCCAGATTTCTTCTAGTCTTTGTCTTCACAATGTTTCTTTACATGATTCATCCCGCTAGATGTGGTTTGTGCAGCCTGTCCAGAATGACAGTGTTCACGGGTCAGAAGGGGTTTTGGACCTGGCACTGAACTCTGGCACCAAACTGCCTTGCACTGATCTATAAATAAGACTCGCACTGACTCAGAGCAGTGAAAGGAGCAGAGAGGGTTATCCATGCAGCAGGTGAAACTCCTCCGACTGACTGCTCAGGTGACAAGTTAGGACAAAGTGTTGGACTGGTCGGCCATTTTTTATATATGTCCTGCATTAACAGCAGACGTCCTCACAGCTTCCCTCCATTTAGCACAGTCCTGTTGACACAGTTACTCTACATAACATATAGATCTTACTATATGTCAGATAAATGTCATTTAAGCAATAATATCATTTTAAAGGAGGTGTTACTTAAAGGAATGCATGCTGCCTAACACTTGCAGGCCAAAGATTTGAACTAAGGTCTCAGTCAACGTATTGGTGCTCAGGGTATGTGTTGAGAGAACTGCTGGCTTCTCTCTCACCGAATTTTAGCACAAAATCTGTCAAACTGATCCAACTCTAACACATTTTGTGTTGATTAATATTGATAAGCTGTGGCAACCATATTGAATTGCATTGTTTCCTAACGCTGATCAGTTCTAGACGTACATTCAGCGATTCCTTTCTGAGTTTCATTAAAAACCTAGTGGTTCATGAGATATTTTGCTAACAGACAAACAAGGTTGACTCCAATGGCTAATGTTAAAGTTCTAAGCACAGCTCATGTGTTCTGAGCAGAACTTGCATGAGTTGACTCTCAGCTACAACCACGCCACAGTTTTGCTAAATATCTGTATAATTAACACATTTGAAGCCATATTTGTATTTTTTAAGTTTGCTTAAGCAGTTATCACAAAGTGGACTGACTTTGTTCGCTAACAGTTGTAGATGCATTGAATTATTTTCATTAAAATGCGTTCAGTGATTTATGAGATATTTTGTTAACAGAGTTAAATCCAAATACTTATAATTTTCTATAAAAAAAAGTTATTGTGCGATGTGTAAGTGATCAGAGTATGTGTTGGAAATAACTCTCAGCTACTACCACAGCAGGTTTTAGCTCAATATCTGTAAACAAACAAACAAACAAAAAAGGTTGAATATGGCTATTTTTGCTAAGGCTGATTATCTGTGGCAGCCATCTTGGAAGGGGTTGACTCCAAAAGTGTAGACGTGTATTCAGTTATTACTTACCGAGCGTTTCAGTAAACTTTGTCCAGTGGTTGTTGAGATATTTTGCTAACAGAAGGGCAAATGCACACAGACGCAGGCACAAACTTTATAGCATTATAAAAATTAAATGCACCCAAAAGTAAACACGAAATCAATGAAGAACTAAAAACAAATAACTGAGTACTGAGTTTATTTCACTCGTAAGTTTTCCATTGAAGCGAGCCATAATGGCTGCCAAAAGTTAGGCTCATCAAGTCATCAGCTCAGTTTTCTGCCTGTCTTTAGTTTATTTGCTCTGGTGGTATTTTATCAAACACCATGCATGTCTTTAAAATTCTTACTTTGTATTTTCTCCATTCTTGTTTCTAGTTGTTTTTCTGCTGAGCGACCCATCTAGAGGAAGGATGTCAGCCTCGTTCAGACGTCTGGTCTCTGGCCGAAACACGGCGGTGCTGTTGGCCAGTCTGGGAGCAGGAACGATGGCAACCAGTTTGCTGCTGAATGACAACAGCTCCCTAGCTGCTGAGGCCAAGAAGAAGCTGTATCCCCCCAGGTACGACAGTGTGGAGGGGCGTGGACGACCTGACACTGAACAGTCCAGATCCTATAACTGCTTCATGCATAACAGGACTGACTCCAAAAGTTCATCACTTGTTGATGCACATTAAATAATTACTTTATGAAAGTTTCATTAGGATCTGCTCTGTGGTTCATGAGATTATTTGATAGGAGCAAAAACAGTATCGTCTACTTTGGCCTTTCAGTAGTAGGTGGTAATAAATTTAGTTTGAGGGTCACATTGAAGTTTGGAAACTGTGACTGAATATCTGACAGTATGAAACTGAGCGCAGTGTGTGTGTGTGTGTGGGGGGGGGGGGGGGTGTCACGCACTGGCAGGACCTACATGTGATCAGTGACACTCTCAGGTTTCATCTATGCTGCCTGTGCTTACTTTCTCTTAACGTTCAGACACTATGTGAACTCTGTCCAGCTAAAACACCTTCATAAATGAACGAGTGAAAACTTTAAAAAAAACTCTAACCATGTGGAAATCTATTGGTGATGTCATGCTGGAAGGTGTAGTTTGCATAGTCTGAGATGGATTATTGGGAATTAACACCACATTGTTCTGACTGCTGGTCTTTGTCGCGTTATGAAACATGTACAGAAGAGCTTTCTTCTCGAGGACAGTCTTTCATGCGCATGGTTTAATGCTCACAGTACGTGTTGTGGATAACTCTCCACTATTACCACATCAGATTTTAGCTCAATAGACAGTTTAGTGTTGGCTAATGTTGATTGTTTGTTAAACATGTTGAACTGGGTTAACTGGTTGACAAAGAATTGTGTTTTCCAACCTTTCTCTCCTAAAGTTCTGACTTCCCTGACCTGAGGAAACACAATAACTGCATGGCCTCGGCTCTGACTCCAGCCGTTTATGCTAAACTTCGGGACAAGTTGACCCCCAACAACTGGACCCTAGACCAGTGCATCCAAACAGGGGTTGATAACCCCGGTCACCCTTTCATTAAGACGGTGGGCTGCGTTGCTGGTGACGAGGAGAGCTATGAGGTAAAACAATGACAAAACGTTGAGAACAATTAAAAAAACAGCCTCAAAGGTAACCAGAGATCTGTTTCTCACACTTAAGTAGAGAAAAGTTCAATAAAAGCTGATTTTAATAAGAACAAAAGGAATCAACGGTAAAAGAACTAACTATGTTGAGAAAGGCGACCCTCAGGGACGTGTGTTGGAATCCCTTATGTTATTCTTTGAATGAATAATTACTGTATCTTCAACTTGAAATACACTTGATGCTGTTTATGACATATGCATTTACATTTCCAAAACTAAATGCCTTCATTGTCAAAATCAAAAATATATACATTTTTAATTTAGTTTAATTTGTTCAGTGTAACTTACGGTGTTTGTATTAAAATATGACTTAATCAGGTTTGTTGACAATAAGGACATTTTTTAAGAATAGATGAAGCTGAAGACAAAAACTTTTAATCCAGCGAAAGCCTTTAATGGATGACATAGTCACACTAAACAACTTTGAAAAGGTTTTATTTTAAATCGTGGTTAATTAAAGGCACACTTTTGTCAAATCTTTAAAATGATCTGAGTCCTCCTGTTTTTTTTAAAGTAACATTGATAATGAATAAAAATAGCAAAACAACGTGAGGCATTTTCTTAAACCAGTTGGAGAGGTGCTCTTTATTACTCTTGCAGAACTTCCTTTAATCCTTCACAATAAGAGTTTGAACCACATACTTCAACTGCTAACCTAAAAAACACTCCGACGCGTCTTTATAATGATTATTGTTCTCCAGTAAAAGTTGTTTTACAACCTACAGTTCTTCCATTTTTTTTCTCCTCCTGCCCTAAAACGCCTTACTGCCTGCTCGACCAAAAAGAAATAAAAACTCTGTATCCACATTTCAGTGATTTTGCTGACAAATGAGGCTGAGGGAAATTGTTGGTTTTTACTAAACCATTGACTTTATTGTTCTCTCCAGGTGTTTGCTGAGCTATTTGACCCTATCATCAAAGACAGACACAACGGCTACGACCCCCGAACCATGACCCATCCCACTGATCTGGATGCTTCCAAGGTTGCAGCAAAATTCCCATCACCTAACTATTTCTGCACAAACAAAACCCAAACTTCATCTTTTGCCTGTTTTCTCCATCCACTGGTAGATCACCAATGGCATGTTTGATGAGAAATACGTGCTGTCATCCCGGGTCCGGACTGGACGCAGTATCCGCGGACTGAGCCTCCCCCCAGCCTGTTCGAGGGCTGAGCGACGTGAGGTGGAGCGGGTCGCGGTGATGGCTCTGGCTGGCCTAAAGGGAGACCTGGCTGGACATTATTACAGCCTGGGAGACATGACAGAGAAGGAACAGCAGCAGCTCATTGATGTGAGTTACTGGTGGGCTGGAGGCACAACACAACCACAGTTTTTGTCTCCTGCATCCTGGTTTATACCAATAATAATCCACACGATGCCAAATTTAAACATACAGGTTCGAACACAAACAACCCTTGGCAAGTCGCACATCAACCACTGCCTTTTTATCACCACCTACAAGACTGGCATAGATCTGGCTAGTAGATGACCACTCAACTTGGTTGAGTTCATTGAAACGTGTTTGGTTTCCTGACTTGGACCTGGATTTTAATCATATCTCACAGATTTTCAATGGGGTTGATGACAGGGCCTGTTAGTCAGATTTATCCACTCACATATTTTGTCTTTGTTTGGGGTCATTGTCTTGTTGGAACACCTGATTTTGTCCAGGAGTCTCTATAACATCTCAGTTTTTATGGCCATGCTGTAGCTCTATAACTCTATACATCAGGTGCTCTTTGGCATCCTCTACCTCTGTTTTCTTCTTCTACCTTTATTTATCTTTCCATTTATAGGACCACTTCCTGTTTGATAAGCCCGTTTCTCCACTACTGACATGTGCCTTCATGGCCAGAGACTGGCCAGACGCCAGGGGCATCTGGTACGGTTCATTTTGCTCTTTGCACGTCTGCTGCTGTGCGACCATTCCTGAGAATTTATTTTAGAAGTTTGTAGGAACAAAAATTACTCTCCATCAGCAGGAATTGTATATATATATATATATATATATATATATATATATATATATATATATATATACATACATACT